TCTTCTATAAATTGAAATTAAACAAAACTAAGATAAGCAATATAGAGTAGGGATGAGGTTGCCAATTAAAATTTTATTCAAGTCTAAGCATATGAGAAAAAAAAAAAAACAAAACAAAACAAAAAAAAATCTCAGTCAGGAGTTTAATTTTTTAATTTAGAAATTGTTGATTAGTCAAGCACTCAGATACATGACTAATGTTAGGAGTTTAATTTTTTAATTTAATTTTTTAAGGCAGGAAAGTGATGTCCTCAACTTTGATTATATTTACAAATTAAACTTGCAACTCAGTTATTGTTCAATTACTCTTCTTGGACAGTGATGGATAAACAAAAATGATGACATGTTATCTAACAAAGATATACATAACAAAGAAAAACGCAAGAATGATGATTACATAGGTTATACAATCTATACTCTAACTAATCATCCTTCAAGAAGACGACAAACATCCATATTATGATTGTCTATTTGCTTTAGTTTTCATTGCTCTTCTGGCCAAAGCAGAGGAGAACGAACCTACTTTGACTTGTTCACCAACTAATAGATTGTAGTTTAAATCATGAAAAGAAACATGAAACCATATAAATCATGAAACCATATAAGTTCACCAACAGTTTTTTTACTTCTTTTACACGGCGGGACATGATTTTTAGGGGAAAAGAGAGCCAAAAAAAAGAAAGAAAGAGAGAGAGAGAGAGAGAAAGATGAGGCAATTCAAACCATATAAAACGTCTTAACCATGAACAATAACAAATAAAGCCAACCTCCAAAGATATCTTAATAACACTTCCAAACACAATCAGACTCCAATTAAAATTGAGTGAATTCCTGTAACAAAACTAATTGCAAAATTTTCAATGAAGCATCTTCTAAAACATATCTTCTAAAGCACATCTTATTACTATTTTTTTTTGTAATTATTCATGAAACAAACAATAGAAACCAATATGGCGGATACAAACCAAAATGTATATAAAAAAGAATGTAGTGAAATCAAACTACAACCAAATTGCAAAATTAAGAGAAAAACACAAATCCAAATCCTACAAATCCAAATCCTCCAAATAACACATTTCACCAAATCAAGCTCACTACCAGAATTGTGCAACTAAATAAGAAAATACGGGATAGAATTGTGCAACAATACATACCAAAACAAATAAAAGACAGGATACCCTTTATTGGTTTTGCTTCCTATGGTAAAACAACCCTTTTTGTTTTCACCAAATCAAATATTTACTGCGTTTCTTACCTAACAGGATAGGAATTTTTTCAAACCCTTAGAAACAGAAACGCAAACACAAACACAAACACAACCCTTTATAGGCCAAAAACTGTCTGATTTGTTGATTAATTCCCAAAAACTGTCTGATTTATTGATTAATCCCCCAAAATTGTCTTGATTAATCCATTTCATGAGATGAGAGAAAACAACTCAGAAAATTTCCATAAATGATCAAAAAACATGAAGAGTGTGAGAGTGAGAGTGTGAGTGAGAGTGGGGGGACTGAGACCTTGAGGGGAAGAGAGAGGTGTTACCTGAATACGACGACAACCATCGAATCAACGAAGAGCCAATGAAGCAACGAAGAACCACCGAAGCAATGATGATGAATGGGTTTGAATACAACCACTGTGGCAAACAAAGAGAGAGAAACAGTGTTGATGAAATGGGTGTGAAGGGAGAGTGAAATGGGTTTGAAATGTTTTCAACTTTCAAACTATATCCAACGGTGAAATGAACAATCTCAACCTTTAAATCCATAAGATAGACGTTCCATTGGGATTCAAACCCACTTCAATTAAACTAATATAAAACAATGAAACTCTCAACAACCAATTCCAAAGACTTTTGCTTGAACAGTATGATACTGTGAAGGACCTATTCGTGAATTCTATAATTCTGTTAAGGGCCTATTCGTTGAAATAAAAAAATGAAATGTGGTTTAGATTTAAATGGGACAAAATGTTAAAAAAAAAAAAAATTAGTTGATAATTGTAAGAAAAAATTAATAAACCATACTTATAAATTTGATTTTAATATACCCAATTTGACTTTAATAAACCCAAATTTTAATAAACCAGACTAAAAAATTTGATTCTTGCTCCCCCTACCCCACCAAAATAATGATAATTTTAAGAAAAAATTAAAAAACCAGGCTTATAAATTTCTTACACAACTAACCAAAACAATGATTGATCACAAACTGTAAACATCTGTAACGCCCTCAAAATAATAACATTAAACCCATCAATCAAGATTCATTAACATATGAAATAACCGCATTTTTCTATTCATCAGAGTTTCATTACATAAGTATTACATGTTAACAACAAAAGCAAAATGCCCTACGGGCTTACAGCTTTCCAAGTTAACACTTGGTTACAACAAAAAGAGTACTAACTCATTTACACATTAAGCCCTTGGCTTGAATTTACATGTAATACGATCACAAACTGTAAACATCAGACACAATGTTTCAATCACAAATTGGACAATGTTTTAATGTTTCACCGAATCAATGTTTAAATGTTTCAATCACAAATTGATTATTGAAATTAAAGATTAGAGTAAAGATTATCCAAAAATTAAAGTAGAGATTATCTAGAAATTATCCAAAGATAGAGAAAAGACTAAAGATTAGAGTAAAGATTATCCAAAAATTAAAGATTAGAGTAAAGATTATCCAAAGATTACCTAAAGATAGAAATATAAATACTAAAGAAAAAGCCCAGGCATGCTTACCTAAACAGTATGTATACCGGATTATTCATGAGATGAGAGAAAACAACTCAGAAAATTTTCATAAATGATTAAAAAACATGAAGAGAGTGAGAGTGGGGGGACTGAGACCTTGAGGGGAAGAAAGAGGTGTTACCTGAACACGACGACGACGACCACCGAATCAACAAAGAGCTGATGAAGCAACGAAGAACCACCGAAGCAATGATGATGAATGGCTTTGAATACAACCACTGTGTCAAAGAAAGAGAGAGAAACAGTGTTGATGAAATGGGTTTTGGGCGGTGAAGGGAGAGTGAAATCGGTTTGAAATGTTTTCAACTTTCAAACTATATCCAACGGTGAAATGAACAATCTCAACCTTTAAATCCATAGGATAGATGTTCCATCGGGATTCAAACCCACTTCAATTAAACTAATGTAGAACAATGAAACTCTTAACAACAAATTCCAAAGACTTTTGCTTGAACAGTACGATACCGTGAAGGGCCTATTTGTGAATTCTATAATTCTGTTAAGAGCCTATTTGTTGAAATAAAAAAAAATGAAATGTGGTTTAGATTTAAATGAGACAAAATGTAAAAAAAAAAATTAGTTGATAATTGTAAAAAAAAATTAATAAACCATACTTATAAATTTGATTTTAATATACCCAATTTGATTTTAATATACCCAAATTTTAATAAGCCAGACTAATAAATTTGATTCTTGCTCCCCCTACCCCACCCAAATAATGATAATTGTAAGAAAAAAATTAAAAAACCAGGCTTATAAGTTTCCTACACAACCAACCACAACAATGATCAATCACAAACTGTAAACATCAAACACAATGTTTCAATCATAAATTGGACAATGTTTCAATGTTTCACCGAATTAAAGATTAGAGTAAAGATTATCCAAAAATTAGAGTAGAGATTATTATCAGTAAAGACTAAAGATTAGAGTAAAGATTATCCAAAGATTACCCAAAGATATAAATATAAACATTAAAGAAAAAGCCCTAGTTTACTCACCTGAACCATATGTATACTGGATTATTTCTTTGTTGAACACCATTGTTCCCTTTTGCAGTCCCCTTGTTCCTCTTTTGCAATGGCTCCGTCGTCAATGGGGTTTGGGGCTACCATTGTTGATGAAGATTGGGAGAGAGAGGGAGGAAGAGAGAAGATGAAGAGAGTAATACGGGGTTTGGGGTTCAGTCGCCGGCAAGGGTTGGGCGGAATGGGCTCCGATGGAGGTAGAGAGAGAGGGGGGTGTTGTCGTCAATATTCAAAGGTATTTTAGGCTACCATTGTTGATGAAGATTGGGATGGCGGAGAGATAAAGAAAGGAAGAGAGAAGATGATGAGAGGGAATGGGCTCTGACAGGGAAGGTTGGGGTCTGATGGAGAGAGAGAGATGAGGGGTTGTGTGTTTTCAAAATTTGAAATCAAAAAGAGATAAATGGGAGAGACAAATGAGAGTGAGAGAGAGAGAGAGAGAGAGGGTGTCTGTTGAAAATAAGAGAGACAAATAGAGTGAGATATTTTGAGCCCTTAGATTAAATTAATCTAATGGTCCAAATTTTGACATAAGTATAAGAGTCACATTAAGATTCAAAATTCTGAGTTATTTTGTTATATAGATGACATAGAAAATAATGTAAGTTGCCCTTTCTCCACAGTATTAATGCAAGTGGCGCTTTTTTAACCGTTACTTTGTTTAAAGTTTATCTGGATTCATTTATCCTCCGTAGTTGAGAAATTTAAAAAAAAAAAAAAGAGAAAAAAGAAAAAGAATATTAAATTAAATAAAATATATTTGGTGCTACATGCACTAACATTAATTATAATATTATTATTGATTCTATTCATTAATCACATTATAAATATTCAAAATTTCTTAAATTATGACAGATCATCAATTAATACATTAATTAATATATCAATTAATACATATAGCATTATTCTTTATTTGATTTCAAAATTTTTTCTAAATATTCTAAAAATATGAAAAATGTTTCAAATCTCCTTTTCTTCTCACTCTCTTTGACTTACTTTCTCTCTCATTGGCCAATTTTTTTTTATTCTTCTTCAATCACCTCCTCCACATGTGTGTGAGACGGTGATTTGAGGGTCTCTATCAATGCTGTAAAAATACATCGTTAAAAGTTTCGAGAATGCGATGAACGCGCTCTCACTGAGCGTCGGATACACTCGAAGTCTACAACACTATACAGTACAGAAGACAAAATCCAAATACTGAGCGTCGGATACACTCGAAGTCTACAACACTATACAGTACAGAAGACAAAATCCAAATACTCTCTCTCTTCTCTCTCTATGCCCTTTGATCCGGCGTTCTCTTCTCGTTCTCGTCTTCTCGGAGATGGAGAGGCTCGCGGCTTCGGCGGTGGTGGCGGTGGCGCTGTTGGTGGTGGCAGTCACGTTCTCTCTCAGTCTCCTGTTTTTCGCCGGTGAATCTGCCAACAATTTCACCGGAGACACGAATCTCGGCCGCAAGCCAGAGCTTAAGGGTTTGTGCGATGATCTCATCGAACGCTATGGTCATCCTTGCTCCGAACACGAAGTAATCGCTTTTCCATACTCTCTCTCTCTCTACTTTATATGCAACTACAAAATGATGTACATTTACTGTTTTTGAGTACTCGATTAGTTACTGGAATTGTATGTTCAGCTTATTAATTATCTATACGCATCTTGGAGTGCAATTTGTTGACATTTTATAATTGTTTTGTGAAATTTCTAGTTGAACTGCGGAATAGGAGGAACATTAAGGTCTATAGATTCGAAATGAAAGGATTTTAGCACTAAAGAATAGCTCAAATTTAGATATGATAGTTTAGATATAAATCTTTAGGTTTAATTTGAGAGCTTTACAATTTGGAATAATGATGTCAAATTAGTTTTTTGGAATTGTTTCATACTAAGGATTACTAGGATTATAAGAGTAACTTAACACTAATAGGCATTTTACGTAACAAAAGTACATAAAATATTAATTACTAAGTAGTGTACTTCATGAAATTAGTTTGTATAGCGTCCAAAGCTCTTGAAATGTAGCCAGCTGAGTAAGGATTTGGCAAAATGTATCGTGTTGGAGCGGCCATTCTATGATCAGGCTAGGCAAAATGCCTAAATGCTCTAAATTCCTCTTTTGTTGGAGATGCTTATTAAGGATTATAGTTGTACAAAAGATCAAAATAAAATAGTTTTCTTCGTAATTTGCTCTATATTTCCTTTAGTTTCTCAATCTATGTAATAGGCAACTATTCCATATTTTTGTATGGTTTAACTACACATTTCTTTATGTGAAATCCACCTATCCAATCGGAACTTAATAGTTACACTTGCTATTTCGTTTAACCTTTTTTTTTCCTAAAGGATTTTTACATGTTTTGGATTGATTGGTTGTTTGATAATTGAAATGGGGCTTGTATGCATTTGTTTTCATCAAATTTTCAGGTGCAGACAAAGGATGGTTACATATTGGGCCTTCAACGTGTCTCATCTCGGGCCAAGATCTTGAGAGAACAAAAGGGTCCTCCTGTTCTTCTCCTGCATGGACTCTTTATGGTGAGCTTTCTCACTATTGTTTACATAGTTTGAACTGTTTACGCTGTTTTTGGTATATCTGTTGCCACATCTTTATTTGCAGGCCATTGTTATGACGGCCATATTCAAATGATATTCCTTATTTTAGTGCTTGTATATTACTTATTGCTAGTTTTCCAATTGATAGCAGTGTATGTATTGATATATCCATAACTCTTGGGACATTGATGTATCCATGTGACACGGGTAAGCCCATAAAGGATATAGCCCACCGTTTAGGGCCCAATACATAATTCAAATATTAAAGTTCAACGTTGCTGGAGCTCAACATAATATTAAGAACCAATAACATCAAAACACGTGGCAAGAGAAGGACAAGCCACATAAGCAGACAAAGATCCTGCAAAGTTATCGCACTGCACATCAGCCATTAATGAAGGCTCTTACAGCATTTATTGCGATAACCCCTCCCCGTCGAGACAGAACGGCCTCACCATGAACAAGGCAAGCTAGAGCATAGACTTTCGGCCATGGCGACAGGTCGGAAGGGACAACGAAATGATTACCAGAGGATATAAGCAGATGTCGAAGATAAGAAGAAGGTTAAGCTTTTCTATCTCTAATCTATCTCTATATTTCATCACTCTTTCTAACTTGCTCGTCGGAAGGTTCGCTGGGGGACTCCCCGTTCCCCGTTGGACTCCTGTGCAGGTCTATTCGTGGGCTTGGTATATCGGGCACCGATTTGGGAAGCGTGGATCAGTCCGAACTGTTCCATTTGGAACACGTTGTATAGTCAGCTGCCGCCGTCTGTGGGAAATCCTTTTGTTCCACGTGCCAATTGTGCTCATTGCCGCTGGAGACCCTTTCCTAATAACCCCTTCCTGCCACCCACCAAGGTGGATGGTTACGACTAGATCCATGGCTTCTCACCACAATGTTGCCGACCCTCCTACTCCAAACAACCCACTGCAGTATTTCACCGAGCTCACCAACAGCATTAACTGCCTCGCCGAGCAAAACCAAGCCTTGATTAATGCTCTACTCCAAAGAAACCTTCCTATGCCCCCTCCACCACCTCCAGATATCCCACCCAACCAAGAATGAGCCCGAGCCATCCCATCCAACAGCCTTACCTATCCAACCTAGAAGGCTTACAACCCCTTCCCCCAGATATGAACCCACCTCCCCGGGTCCAACATCCATCAGTCTAGGCACTCACCCCCAAGGGAGAGGCTAGTAGCGTCCAGCCTCCGCTGCATTCCGGTGGTGACAACGTTCCTCTCTGGGATGCAGAACTCCCAGCCATGAAGCTCCAGCTCCAAAGAGTCATGCAGAACATGCAGAATAAACTATCTACCACAGCCAACTCACCGTTCATTGCTTCCATAAGGGACAAACCCTTACCTTCTAAATTCAAAATGCCCTCGCTTGACTCTTTCGACGGCACAACAGACCCGGTCGACCATATGGAAACTTACAGGACCCTCATGATCCTCCATGCATTCCCTGACGAGATCATGTGTCGCGCCTTCCCTGTAACTCTTAAGGGGTCGGCACGACTCTGATTTAGTCAACTGTCAGCAGACTCTGTCTCCACTTTCCAGCACCTAAGTGACTCATTTCTCAGCCATTTCATTGGTGCCCAACGCCAGCGACGTCCGGCAACCCAACTCCTCAATATTCGTCAGACCGAGGGGAAGTTGCTGCGCAGCTTCGTCACTCGCTTCAATACCGAAGCCCTGCATTATTCCCTTCGTTCGACTAAAGCTGCACTCGGGAATGTGGGGCTACTGACACGAGTAAGCTCATAAAGTATATAACCCACCATTTAGGGCCCAATACATAATTCAAATATTAAAGCCCAACGTTGCTGGAGCTCAACATGTCATTAAGAACCAATAACATCTAAATACGTGGCAAGAGAAGGACAAGCCACATATGCAGACAAAGATTCTGCAAAGTTATTGCATTGCACATCAGCCATTAATGAAGGCCCTTACAGCATTTATTGCGATAACCCCTCCCCGTCGAGACAGAACGACCTCACCATGAACAAGGCAAGATAGAGCATAGACTTTCGGCCATGGCGACAGGTCGGAAGGGATAACGAAATGATTACCAGAGGATATAAGCAGACATCGAAGACAAGAAGAAGGTTAAGCTTTTCTATCTCTAATCTATCTCTATATTCCATCACTCTTTCTAGCTTATTCGTCGGAGGGTTCGCTGGGGGACTCCCCGTTCCCCGTTGGACTCTTGTGCAGGTCTATTCTTGGGTTTGGTATATCGGGCACCGGTTTGGGAAGCATGGATTAGTCCGACCCGTTCCATCTGGAACACGTTGTATCATTACCATGTATTGGATGTTTATGCAGAGGGGACTTGAGCCACTGATATTTAGTTTGAGAGTGTGTGTGGATATTGTTCCATACGATTATTTTTGTTTTGCTATTACATTACTTCTGAAGAAGTCTGCTGTGTACAAATTTGGAATGAGTTTGTTATTTAAATGGCGACACCTGATAAATTAGAGTCTATGATGTTTTATTGATTGTTAACTTCAATTGTGAAGTAGAACGGTGAAATGTAGCTGATTAGTTGAAGATAGCCTTCATTCACACAAGCAATTACCTTATAGAGTGGATATTCTGATGAATTTTGAAAAATGGAGGACCAAATTTTTAGAAGTTTATGATCCATGGCCTCCAAGAACGGTAATTATGTGACCAAAGCAGTGCATAGTTATTTAGTATTATTATTTTTAAAATAAAGCATGAGTATATGTAGAAAACACGCCAGCGGAGCATCATCTGTGTAAACCAGAGATATCCACTTAGAAATAAAACTCAAAAACTATAACCCTCCCCAAAACTAAGCTTAGTCAAAAAATCAACCAAAGATGAATAAGAATCACCTGTGTTTTTTAAAGCAAGAAAATGAACACAACATAGCAAGGATAGCTGAATCCTACTAGTCACTCTCTCTAATTCTCAAATGTATGTTGTTCTTCTCCATCAAAACACGCTACATCAAACGGGCACCACTGTCCAAGCTTTCCATATCCTTTCCAAGTGACATCCATGAGGCCGGCTTTGTAGATATCAAGGAACTGAAGTTGGCATTTTTAGTAAGCTCTGAAGGTCTTTGGCAAACATTATAATAAAGCAAGAGATGATTCTTGAACTCCTCTATCCTTTTCTCAAATTATTTGATGTAAGATTGGACTCCAACATTGCAATCCAAACATAGACAATCACCTTAATGAGAACCCAAACACATTTCCAATAAAAGGAAGAGCCCATGCTACCACAAATGATAGAATAATACAATGTAAATAGGAATCTACCATCTCTCTCCTTCCACTTCAACTCATCCTCCCTCCCTCCCAACATCCTCCCCACTCTTGCACTAACTTGAAGAACTGAGGCCTCCACACAACTTTGAGTCTAAAACCCTTATATATTTAGAGATCAAAGCATTTTATAGTAGCTAAGCTATACAACTCTGAAAGAGCCCCATACAATGGAACATCTCTCCCACACATCATGTCAAAGTCTTGACCTAGCTGCTCTTATGCCTTATAGTCACTGTCCTGCATCCTATTTCCCTTGTCATATTTGAATGCTTTGGTGATTGATTTGATACTATAAGCTTGTGGTTTGAATTTTATTTAGTGGAATATTACGTTTATTTATTTATTTATGATTAGTCTTCTCATTGTCTGTTGCTTGCTAATTGGTTATTAGCTTAAGTCATCTCACATAAGGTTCTCAAGGCCTATGTTACATGGACTCGGGTACGGGTGTCGGGTGCGGATATGTATCTAGAGGTCGGACTCATCAAATCATAAATTTAAGGATACGCAGACTCGGCAAAAAAATGTCATATTTTTATATTTTTAATCTAATATGTGAGATAAAATGGTATTATATGTAACTTATAGTGTCAAAATGACATTTATAGCAATTATATAACAATATATACATATAATAATAGTGTTATATACAATTATATAAGAAGTATCCGTTGAAAAGTATCCGACACATATCCCATACCCTTGTCCGAGTGTCGGGTGTCCGACACGGGTATTTGATTTAATTTGAAGAGTCCATGTAACATAGCTCAAGGCTTGTGTAACCTTTTGGTTGCATCACTAGTGCTTTCTTGGCTAAACATTCCTATTTTCTATTCATTGATGTGCAATAAAGGAAAATGGAATTATCAATTGAAGTGTTTGTAAGATATGTTCTGACTCATGGAGCATGTGTTTGTGATAATTCGAAACGTATTTACTCGTATTTTTTTTTTTTTTTTAAGTTTTAATGCCTCCTTATATGAGAGAAGCTTCTGCACTAACAGTTCTTTGCTTTAAAATTCAATTAGTCTGGTGATGCTTGGTTTTTGGATTCTGTGAATCAATCATTGGGCTACATTCTTGCTGATCATGGTTTTGACGTTTGGGTCGGAAGTGTGCGTGGGACACGTTGGAGTCATGGACATGTATCTTTATCAGAGAAAGATAAGGTATCATATGTCTTGGCTCTTTCTAAGCTCTTCATACTGTTTTGAGTATCTTTGGTCTCTTTAGGTATTGTGAACAGTGGGTTGTCCCTCTGTAGTTATTTTCTTTGCTTCTGTAACGTTGTGTTTGGTTGGGGAATTTAGAAAGGAAAAGGGAAAGGGAAAAAGTAAGTGAAATGTGAATAAAATATACCTACATTTCATTTAGTTTCACACACCTTTTCCCTTTCCTTTTCTAAATCTCTTCCTAAATCTCCCAAGCAAACACAGTGTAAATGCGAATAAAAATGTATATAAATACAAAAATATCTTTCCAATCGAAAAAATAAACATAAAAAATATATATGTACATATACATTTTCAGTAATAAAGACATGAGCAATGCACATGATCTTTTCCTCACTTTGCAATCACCTAATCCTCAGATTCTGTTTCAGTTACTTTTGATTGGCAAAATTCTTGAAATGGACGTGAGGACTATGTGAGCACATTTTAGGGGCATTAGAGGAAAAAATTTATACTCCCTCCGTCCCAATTTGTTGGTCCCTTTTGGGGATTCCAACTTTGTGAGGAACCATGCAATTATTACACATAAATTTAAATTTCAAAATATTTTTCTACTAATGGCCCTATCTTTTCAAAATTTTAATATATTTATAATTACTCAAAAGGAGTAGTTTTGGAAAATCAAATGTTTTTTACTTTGACTTTTCAAATGGGACTATCATCTTGGGACATCCCAAAATGGAATAGTGGACCAACAAAATGGGACAGAGGGAGTATGATAAATTAAACTTTTCACCCTTTAACTTTTACTTATTCACTTTGGTCCCTCATGTTTTAATTTTCACTCAAATTTCAAAAGTTGAGATGATGGGAGGACAACATTGAAACACGGGTTAAGTTCTAAGGACTAAGTTGTTGCAATTAAAATACGAGGCACCAAAGTGAAATTTGAGGGTGAAAAGTTTAATTTGCCCTAGAATTTAATAAACTTCAAAGAAAAATAAAATGGGAGAACCACTTCTCTCTTGTATTGGAAATTGTGTTGAATAGCGACATCATAAAAAAAAGGACGAGGGAGACAATAAACAAGATTAAGGTGGGATTATGCTTACACGGCCTTGTAATGAAATTTAAGCACTCACTTCTTGTAATGAAACAACGTTTTGTAGAAAAATTATGCACATAGGTTTATATGTAATTTTTACAAGATGTATGTAGATATTTATCTAAACATGGGAAATTGTTCTAGGCCTGATTGATATTGAATCTATATTTATGCTGAATGGCAGTCTTAACAAAAAAACTTCCAGAATTTCCATCTTACCTGTGCATGTTCTGCTTGCCTGTGAGATGGTAACTTTTTCTCCGTACTTGTGTTTTAGGAATTTTGGGATTGGAGTTGGGAGGAATTGGCTCTTCATGATCTTCCAGCAATGCTCCGTTATGTAAATAAGATTTCAAACTCCAAAGTATTCGTTGTTGGGCATTCACAGGTCTTCTGTCTCTTTATAGGCTTCTGTTTCCAGTAGTTTTTCCTGTAGGTTCTTCCTTTATTATCTGGTTCAATGCTTACTTTGCAGGGTACAATCATGTCTCTGGCTGCTTTCACTGAGCCAGACATAACAAAAATGGTTATGGGTGCTGCCCTTCTTTGTCCTATAACATACTTGGAACATGTCAGTGCTCCATTTGTTCTTAGACTTGTTAGCATGCATCTTGACCAGGTGAGTTTAGCATTTTGATGTGGTAATGTAACTGCATGGAAATTATTTCTGGTGACATTGGTATACTAAATTCCTTCTGAACAGGTGGTTCTCGCATTGGGCATTCATCAACTTAATTTTAAAAGGTCTTTTGACTCATGTGTTTCCCTCGTTCAGGCTCGATGTTAAGTTAACCAGGTTTTGGTTGTTCTAAGTTTATTATTTGACATTTTTATAATGTATTTAGTGAACTTGGCGCTCAAATCTTGGATTTTGTATGTGATGATGGGCGTGTAGACTGCAACGACTTGCTAACTTCCATTACAGGTTCTTCTTCTTCTCATCTTTGTCCTTTATGCATGTGCTAATCAGGCAGCATTTAATGGACAAATATAATCAAGTTTGTCAAGAAACAAATTTATCTATAACTTTAATTTCTTTTGCATGAAAAATTTATATTCTGAATGCCTCAGAATTGCTGTTGCATTCAATGTCAACATGGTAGTTGGGAGGCCACTTTTTGGCAATTGAAGTAATCTAGACTTGGAAATAGTGATGTGAATCATGCGATAAGTGTACATCTCTATAGTTCCTAGATGAATAAAGAAGAAGAGGGCTCCACTTTGAGGGTCATGTTAATTACATGAGCTATTTACATCCTATGAGATCAATAGGAAGGCATCACCAGCCTACTTCCTTGAAAAGCAGCCTCGTGGATATATGAAGGAAGCAAACAAAAAATTATTTTGGAGAACTAAGATTTGTCATGTAATTCTTTACTGTAGTGCTAGGTTAAGTTTTAAGATGCATGTGCCAGATCAATTTTTGCCTATTCCAGGAAATAGGTATTGGTGCTCTTAAACCTATTGAAAAGTAAAACTTAGATGGAGAAATTTGGTTGCTATTTACCAATTCCTCCTTGAGCAAGCTATGCTACTTATAATGACTTTACAGTAATTTTAGATGAGCATTCGATCAATTTTTTCTGCAATTGTGAACTTGTAGTCTACATAATATAATGTGGAAGTAATGTGTGGATCTGCCTAATAGATCTGAGAGGAAAATATATTAATTAAGCATATATGGTCAGCTACCTGGTTTTCAAGAAATTGGAGATGATAGAATCATCACATAAGATATGCTCAATTTATATTTGGTGGTGATATCTTATACTGCATTTCAATTCTGTTTTGGTCATACTTTTGAACATATGATTAAGGCGATTCATTCACTTTGCAGGGATAAACTGTTGCATTAATATCTCTCGAATTGATTTCTATCTTGAATATGAACCTCATCCATCATCATCAAAGAATCTGAATCATCTTTTCCAGAGTATGCTCTTTGCACTTTCTTGTAGCATCCTGTTGTTCTAGTAATTGGTTTATTTTTTATGTGGTTACAACTTAGTGGTGTGAATCCCAACTAATTCCATTATGTTTCCTAATATCATCAAACATTTTTTTATTTTATTTTAAATAAATTTTTTAATAGTATTTTGACAAGTGGAAAAAGAACATGATATGCAGTTAAAGAGAAGTGAGAAACATGAAGAGGTTTTCTCAAATCTACTAGGTCTTATTCTGTCAATAACTGCTCTACCTTTCGGTTATAATTGACGATCTTCAGCTGTGGTTGCTGAGGAATCAAATATAATGGGCTATTGTTCTAACAGAGATGAATTATTAGCAAAATTTCTCATTTGCTTGTCCAAAGCTTTCTTTGGATTTGTACAATGTAGTTTGTGTTGAACACGATTAGTATTAATGTTGATGGTTCTTTCTGATCCCTCTTAATGTTTTGGCAGTGATCCGTAAGGGTACCTTTGCAAAGTATGACTATGGAAAGTTGAAAAACATCAAAAGATATGGCCAGTTTAAACCCCCCAAATTTGATCTTTCTCGTATACCCATATCTTTGCCGTTATGGATTGGGTATGGGGGAAATGATGCCTTAGCAGACATGACAGATTTGCTGCACACTCTTAAGGAATTACAGTCCGACCCAGAGTTGCTTTATCTTGAGAACTATGGTCATGTAGACTTTCTTTTGAGCGTGACAGCAAAGAGAGATGTTTATGATAGTATGATCGGGTTTTTCAGATCATTGCGGGGAAAGTCTAGTATTTCGTCTTTGTAAGATATGACCATTGCTTTCACATAGACTTGTGCATATTTTGTAAATGATTTTTTCTTTCCACGGTTATATATTTGTTAAGTCAATGAAAAATGCCGAGAATTTGTGTAAGCTGGTAACAAAGGCGGAGCAATTTTAAAATTTTCAGAAGTTCCTTTCGTACTTAGAATCTCAAGGAGAGGGAAGGGCTGTACTGGGTGATCTTGTTTGGTTGTGTTTTTGTTTTTCTTATTTTCGGAAACAAAAACGATGAAAATTTTGAAAACTTCTATGGTTTTCATATTTGTTTTTAATTTTTTTTTACAGAAAAATAAAATAGAAATTGAGAACTCTTTTTTGGTGTTTTCTGAAAAATGGATTGTTTTCAGAAACAATTTATCAAGTGAGTTTGCACTTTGAATGGTTTTCTCTAAATTTGGTGTTCCTTAGTACTGTTAATATAATTTGGGTGAACTTTAAGTTTTGTAGTTTCACCACAAATGCTGTGGAAATTACTTGAAAGTAAAGCCCGTAAACAAAACATGTCAAGTGGTAGGAGTTATAAAATATAATCAAGTTTGATTTGTTTGTCAAGTTTGTAAGAGTTATAAAATATAATCAAGTTTGATTTGTTTAATTTTTGAGTTAATTTTAAACAAATTTTAATATAATTGGTTAAGAATAAAACTGAGTCCCGTATACTAAAACTGTTTGTAAAAAAGGGAAACATTGTTCTATGGGAACAGAGAAGCCTGATTAATGTTATAGGAGGGATCTCATCTCACTGAAAAATTATTTTGCTATTTCGTGTCAATCACAAATCAATATATCTTTTAGTATTTTCGTACCCTTCAAAATAAAATTGTGAATTTTATCTTCTTTACTCATCATAACATACTAGGGGTTGTTTGAAATGACTAAAATAAGTATATTTTTTGTCTTTTTATGAAAAGATGTGTAGAAAAATAGAGAGGTAATGTGATAAAAAAAAAATAAAAAAATAAAAAGATGAATTATTTTTAAGTTGCCAAACTTGACCTAAGAAGATCCCATGATCGTGTTTTAGAATCATTAAATAACTTTTTCATCTCACCTAACGAAGCATTCACGAGCTTTTTTTTTTTTCTATTTTGTTTATTTATTGGGTTTAAAATTTTCTCTTGCTTCTTTGTTTTTTCACTCACATCATTACAAGTGTGCAGTCACATCTTAGAGAGTATTATTCATTCGGTTTCAAAATTCATTTTTTAAAAAATTTTATTTTTTTTGTTTTTATTGAATTTTTTTAATATTTTAAGTATTTTTTTTTATTTTTAGATACATTTAACATAAATACACTTAAAAAGTAGGGTAAATTACAAATACACCTGCTAAGATTTGCTTAAAATATAAAATATCCCATGTGGTTTAAAAAATTACAAATCCCCCTTATTAGAATTTTTTATTTAATAAAATTAACTAAAAAAACTAAAATTCATAATTACTTTCCTATACAATAATAAAATTACCCAAATTATTAATTTAAACATATTTTTAATATTATTAAAAACTGTTAATTGACTTAATGATTTATTAATAAAAAGGACGATTTGTTACGAAATTAGAAACTTCAAGAGGTGGAATGTAATTTTCAAAATCACAAGGGGCGATTCGTATTTTAATCAAATCTCAAGGGGTGTATTTATAATTTATCCTGAAAAGTATAATATTTATGAAAAAACATTTAAAAAATTTAATAAATATAAAAAATACAAAAAAATAAAAATTCAATACATTTTTCATTTTTTTGTGTATTTATTAAATTTTTTTAAAATATTTTTTTTATAAATATTTTACTATTTAGATATATCTAAATAAGATATATATAAAAAATAAATAAAATATTTAAAATTTTAAAAATATTTATTAAAAATAAAAAAATACGAAAAATTAAAAACACAATTTTTAAAAAACTAAATCTAGCTGAAACTAAACCCACTAATTTATTTCTGATGGGAAAACAACGGAGAGTGTGTTAAAATAATATTATCATTATTATAATTTAATAATAAATAATGTTTATTTTGTCAAAGTATAATAATTGTACTCCAATGATCACATGTTATTTTGGAACGAAAATTTTTTTGGCAACATTTTCAGACGCAAACGGTGGCTTCTGGGTAGGATCAATGGAATCCAAATTTCACAAGCTAAACATTTTAACTGGTGGAGTTAATTATGAGTTGTGTTTCTAGTGTGTCTACTGCTATCCTTTGGAATGGCCAACCTCTTGAAGAGTTCCAACCTGCTAAGGGTTTACGGCAAGGGGATCTTTTATCCCCTTACCTTTTTGTGTTATGCATGGAAAGGCTATCTGCTATGATTAGTCAAAAAGTGCATGAAAATGAGTGGATAAGACTTAGCTTAGCTAAGAATGGTCCTCTTATTTCTCATTTATTCTTTGCTGATGATTTGATTTTGTTTGCTAAAGCAAATGAAAAAAATTGTACCACCATCTTGAAAGTGCTAGATGAGTTTAGTACTATTTCTGGGCTAAGGGTTAATCTTCAAAAATCACACATGTATGTGTCTTCTAACATAGAATGACACAAAGCTCGTAACTTGAGTAACAAATGTGGTATTCCTTTAATACAAAATCTGGGGAAATACCTTGGGATACCTTTGCTTCATACTAGAGTGAGTAAAAATAACTTCAATTATATCTTGGAAAAACTCGAAAATAAACTTGCTGGATGGAAAACTGGAATGTTGTCCTTGGCTGGAAGGGCAACTTTGATTCAATCAGTTGCTAGTGTTATGCCAGCTTATGCCATGCACACAATGGAGATTCCACGGAAAGTTTGTGATGAGATTGATAAAATTAACCGAAACTTTCTTTGAGGTGATACCTCTGAAAAGAGAAAAGTTCATCTTGTGAATTGGACTCAGGTTTGCAAGCTGAAAAAAGATGGTGGACTTGGGATTCGAAAGGCTAGAGATCAAAATCTAGCCCTTTTGTCCAAGTTGGGATGGAAAATGATAAAAGAGGAAAAGTGTTTATGGGTGGAGGTGCTTAAACAAAAATATTTGAGGCAGCAACCTTTTTTATTTATAAGGAAAGGCAAGAGTATTTCACGTACTTGGAAAGGTGTGTTAAATACTAGAGAGCTCATTGTTAAAAGCGTGAGATGGACCCTTGGCAGAGGGTCCAAAGTGAGGGTTTGGCAAGATTGGTGGTGTGGTGATGGGGTTTTTGAAACAGACTTGAATATACTCACCAACCACTCTCCGAACTCTAAGACTTGCACTGTGGCTTCCCTCCTTGATGAATATGGTGAATGGGATTTAAATATTATGCACAACTTGTTACCCTTGCATTTGGAAGGGGAAATCTTGAAAATGCAACCGCCTCGAACTAGAAGTGCAGATGACACTCCTAGATGGGCTAAATCTCCTCATGGAGAGTTCTCTACATCCAGTGCCTATGCTTTACTTGTTGGTCATCAAAATCAGGAAGGTGATTGGGGTTGGATATGGAAACTTAAGGCCCCTCAAAAGCTTAAGAGCTTTGTGTGGCTTGTCTTACATGAGAAAATTCTAACTAACCATTTGAGGAATTTAAAGAGTCTTGCTACAGATTCAAAATGCCCATGCTGTGAGGGTGTGGAGGACATTGATCACTTGTTAAGGCTTTGTCCCAAAGCCATGCGGGTTTGGTGTCAAATATTTAGTAGGGATTGGTATGTTGAAATGCTACAATAACCTTGGAAAGTGTGGATTATTCGGCATGTGAAAAGGAATAATAAGCAACCTCCTTTGTTCCTCATCACAATCTGGATAATTTGGAAAAACCGGAACAAAATGGTTTTTGAAAATAAATCCATAAACATTTATGGGAGTGTGCAAACCATATCTGACTACTCTAAAGAAATTTATCAAGCTTTCAACTTAGACATCACAACTCCCCTCAAATCTAAAAGTCTAAGTGTGTGGTCTTGTCCAAGTGCAGGTAAAATTAAGCTCAATACGGATGGTAGCACTCGGTGGAACGGAGGAGGTGGTGGTTTTGGTGGTCTATTCCGGGATGAGAGAGGCACGTGGATTAGCGGTTATTATGGGAGACTAGAGATCAGCACCAGTCTTGAAGCAGAATTGTGGGCTGTCTACAAGGGACTCACAATTGTACTCCAGCGAGGGATAGACCAAGTAATAATAGAAACAGATGCGGAGCAAGTAGTGCAATTGTTGAGCAAAGATCTAGGCGAGAGATGTCCCTTTAGAGGCATTGTGGAAGATGCACACATTATCATGAGAGGCTGTGATTGTTCCATTCAGCACATCCGGAGGGAAGCCAACATTTGTGCTGATGCATTGGCAAAGCTAGGAGAAAATCAACCAACTGACCTTCTAATTGTTAACGCCCCACCAGCGGAAATCCGGCATCTTCTAGTTATGGATATTGTGTACCTCTCTGAGGAGGGAAATAGGATGTAGTTCCTGCTTTGTTTTTTTATATTCTGATGTACCAAAAAAAAAAAAATAATCAATTTTTTCTTAAAATTTATAAGTGTTGTTTGGATATCGATTTTTTAATTTTTTTTTGTTTATTATTTTTTTTTCTTTTGTTACTTTTTTTAATTGTTTCTAAGAAAACTAATATATTTACATTATTCCCAACTAGACACATAAAAAAAATTAAAAAATTGAAACATTTATAGTTGTTGTTTGTACTGATTTTAAACTTTTTTTTTTTTTAGGCAAAAAAAGCACGACGACTTTTTTGCCTTTCCAAGATAGATCACCACTGTCTATCTCAACCATTTCCAACGGTTGAGATGAATGATTCATAATCATCTTGACTCTTCACTCTGTCTGCACTCTCCCTCTCTCTCTCTCTTACTTTCTCACCATTTTCTCCTCCCTCTCCCTCTTCATCTCCATCTCCATCTCCATCCCCCTCTATCTCTCTTCTGTCTCTTCAATCGGTGACGGTGTCTACCCCTAATCGCTGAAGACCAACCTTTTTTTCCTTTCCCTCTCCATTTCCCTCTTCCTCTTACTTTCACTTTCTTCTCTCTCTTTGATCAGTGACAGTGTCTACCCCCAATAGTCGAAGACCAATCTTTCCTCCCTTTATCCCCCCTCTCTCTATTTATCTATCTATCTATCTCTCTCTCTCTCTCTCTCTCTCTCTCACACACACACACA